CGTGCGTGTGTGTGTGTTTGTCTTTTGGCTCATCTGCCATTATCTGGTTTTTGTGATTCAAGCAGCCTTCTATTAACAGCCTAATATTAACATCAGCAATTATTCCACAGTGGAAAATATCCCAAAAGAAACTTAATTTCTGTCACAAGAGCTACATCACCTTTGGTTTTGGAGGCAGACATCAAGTCAGAGACAAACAAGTAATTCAAGCTCAGAAATAAGAGGCACAAACGCACTCTGCTTTAGGCAACGAGTAACCTAATCCCCCTCGAACGGTAGGTGATGAGTGGGGTGCTGGTTTGGGCAGGGTCGAAGTTCAAGCACATGTGGCAAACAAAGTCAACAGTGCAGTATTTAAGGGATGATGTTCCCTGAAACGCTGCTATTTATACCAAATTACAGCATGCACCTCAGCTAGCGAGCGCACAGCTGGTTTTCTCTTGCCAGAAGCATTGATTTGACAAACACTTCCAATCAAACAACGTCTGCGTCGAGTTACAGCTAAGCTAAGTAAGCACCGGGTGCCTCTAGTGCAGTGTTTTGAATGTGGGGTTGAAATTACAGCCTTTGCTGTAGTGATTAGGGTCTGTATGTGAGGATGTCAGTCAGGCTCCGAACTCTGGAGGGAATGGTGGCTAATTGAAATGACATGTCAGAAAGATGCAGTGATAACACACTCCTGATGTGGTTCATCTATACTCTTTCTCTTATTCGTTCTATTTCTGAGAGTGTGTGTGTGCGTGTGTGTGTGTATGTATGTTTTAGCCCATATGTATGTGTACATACTTGTGCATCAGATATCAAGTTACAGACAAATAATGGAGTGATGGCGAGGGATCAAATCCCCCTTGAACAATCCCCCTCTCTCTGTTTCCCAACTGTCTGAACACATAAAAAAACACTAAATGTGAGTACATTATCCACTGAGATCCACCACAGGCATTTCATATATTCCCCTGTCATAAGCAATAACTCCTTCATTTCTGCTTTGACAAAGAGCTTATTTACCCTGATAAAGATGGTTTCCTCTTTATGTATGCAGCCAAGAGAGCACACAACAAAAAGGCCTTAAAGGAAAAATCCACACCCCTGTTCTCCAGTGCTGTCATAAATCGTCCATCTGTGGCGATCAGTGCGTTCCTGGACTTAATATGTGGTCAAGTTTTGTAATTTCACTTTTTGTTTTCCTCAACTTGATATGTCTACTTTGACTTCCATTACTTCTTTGTTTCCCACAGTTCAGCGCTGCGCAAAGCCCACACTTGGGTGAATAACAAACTGTGGATTGATATCTAAATGTATTTGAATACTGACCATTTCTAAATAAACAACAACTCCTTATTGTAGATAAAGAAAACAGGCTGGTTTGACATCATGTCATCTGCAACGTGTTTTGTGACTTGTCCAAACAAGAAGGTTGCACAGCACATTCAAAAAAAGACATATTTAAGCATTTTAAGATATATTTTCTCTTGAAATGAAGGTGGTAAAAGACTTCTTTGCAGTTACATGTACTCTGGAAATTTGAAGCCATATTCTTTGGCAATATCTCAGCACAAAAATAAACAGTAAAACCTGAAAGTCCTGCCTGCCAGCCAGCTGCCACTGATTATACAGTATACTTTTATATGAATCAATTACATATTTAGTCTAAAATATACTAATGATGATTACAATGATGTAAAAATTAAGAAAACTAGTAAATAATCATATTAGAGAGGCTGGAAACAACAAATGTTTGGGATTTTTGCGTGCTAAATGACATACAATTAATCTTATTGATCAGGCAGAAAACAAGTTCTACTCGTGTTCCCGTGTGGAGGCATTAAGGTCAGCATCAGACAAAAACAAAGAGCAGCCATGTGTACACACATTAAACCCAAAATCACATACACACACAGCCACCAAGAGACCTCAGGATCACCTTGACCTCTCCACAACAATTACGCCATTGATCACCTCTCCTGAGTCTTAACTCTTCAGATGAGTGTTGAGCTGAGTTACCACATAACTTCAACCAGGTAGAAAAGAGGCCTCTGTGTGGACATTTATCACCCACATACCACAGGAGGATACCTACATACTGCCTACATAACACCTACATAACACTGAGGAACATACACACCACCTCCATGACACAAAGGCAGGGCATGTACTGGAGGGACGGGAATCTTTTTCAAAGCTGTAACTCGAGTATTCAACATTTTCATCAGCTGACCGCAGTAAACTCTGAGAGAATCTAAGCGGCCATAAATGAGTCAGTTGTTTAACGTTTCCAAAAACATACTCCTAACTACCATGCCACAATAAAGCAAACAAAAATTGTGTGTGAGTTTGATGCGAGGCAAAATAAGAGTCACATAATTTTTTATATTTGTTACGCTTCTTTTGTTGCTTGTAAAAAAGGAGAGTTGGTGCCATTCTGCACAATAGAGAGGGATTTGTATGCTGCAGTAAACACCAGACAGCCAGAATTTAAATCATTAACAGTTCAACATATCTGTTATTTAAATTTCTTTTGGAAAGCGCTGTAGAATAAAAAATATCATCTGAAGGTTGAAGAGACCACTTTTGAGGCTACAAGTGGAGTTCTGATGACATTTAGAAAGAGAAGCTCCCTTAATTTTTATTCTTTTCTGCAATGCTAATCATTATTTGAAGTGAAAAGGCATTTAAATGAAGCAACGAGGCCTTAATCACGTCCAACCTCAGCAAAGTAAAACAGTGTGTTCAGTCTGAAACAGCTGGATCTGTAGCAGAGTGGAGGTTGAATCTGGCTCTGCATCGCTCCGCTGTCCACTCTATAGTCTGCCATGCAAACAGCAGCTACTTCATACAAAAAGGTACACAGAGTTCAAACATGCAACTGAAGCTCCCACTATGAAATACTTCCAAGGAAACTTTAAGGTACTCTCATAGACTTCAACAAAGGTGGCCAGAGTTTGAAGTCCTAACTTTACAGTCCAAACAATGATAAAGAGTAAAAGAAAAAGGATGACTTACTTGTAAGATGTCTTATCCTTTCAGACCATTTGTTCAGAGATGGTTTTAGATTATTCCAGTGAGAGTCAAGACGGCTGGACGTTACAATCCGAGCCGTTCTCTCTCGCTCGCTCACTCTCTGTGTCAGCCGCCTTCACCAGGGCTCAGTGGGCTGATGTAAGACACCCCTGCACGTAGGAAAAAAAGAGAGGGAGAGGAGAGGAAGAGGGAAACAGAGAGAGAGAGAGAGAGAGAGAGAGAGAGGGAGGCAGAAAAAAAACCCTTCACATTCTGTGGATTCTTGGGAGCGTGCCAAAGTCCCAGAATTCCACATGCCACACATAAGGTTTCAATTAAGTTCAAATCCAACGCTCAATCAGAAAGCTTTCTTCCTCCTGAAAAGAGCCTTTCTTTTGACAGCTAGAGGCTGAAGTAATTTCTCTGTTATTTTATAACAACATATAGAACTTACAGTGTATGTTGCTATTGTATTACAAAGTTTTGTAATTTGTAATTTAAAATAAATTACTAGAGTAAAACTAGAACAAGAGTAAATATGCTAGAAGCTAGTTTTAAACTCAGTAAATAGTGAAACCAGACGCATGAAAAGTGTGAGTCAAGTGTCAGAGAGAGGTCCTCCTCTGAAGGTTGTGAAGGTTTCATTCAGAGATATTATGACTTTAGCTTTTGTATTCTTTTTTGGCCTGCAAACATTGCCTGTAGTGGATCCTGAGGAGGAATCCATAATATCCTGCAGTAAAGTGACCCAATGACTGGAAGGAATTTTATTGTCTGCTTGAATGGAGATTTTCTTCAGCTGCTTTTTCACATTTTTATGCATGCTCGCCCTCTTGGTCTGTCAGTCCACCTCTTTAATCCAGACTGAAATATTTCAACAACTACTGGATGGATTTTGTACTGACATTCATGGGGATGAATGAAGCCTACTGACATTGGTGACTTTCACTTTAGCATGTGAGGTTGACAATTGTGATTTTGTGTGAAAGGTTTCCACAACTGCTGGATGGATTACCATAAAATGTGGTACACACATGTATAATCTCCTCAGGACTAATTGTGCTGACCCCTTAATATCTTGTCTGGTGGCATCATCATTATGTTAAAAAATGTAATTTGTCCAAATTTGCCCTAATGGCAAAATATGTGCAAAGCATTGAACCTGTTCAACATCAGCATTTTAGCATCATCATTGTGAGCATGTTGCCATACCAGCTTTAGCATTTAGCTCAAAGCACCACTGTGCCTACAATGGGTACAACCTCTGAGAACTGCTAGCATAAATATAGACTCATAGCCACATTAGACATTGAACAGAAGATCTCTGTAATACACTAAAGTTAATAAAATGTTTCACTGTGAATTAAATCTGTACAAACATCCATATACAGACCAGGACTCTGTAAAAGTGGGAGTTTTTCTGCTAAAGTACCCACACTGTTGTTATTTCACATCATAATGCAGTTATGGAGCAAGAGAGCAAGAAAGAAAATGAGTCGGAAAGGAGCCACAAAGAATATTTCCTGAATAGCTGCAGTGGCGTTGCATGCTCTGGCCCATCTTAAACGTAAACCATGTGCTGGAAACTCTGATTCAAGACACCAGGAGCTATAATGCAAAAAACACACCCTGCAGAGCCAGGCCAGTGAAACTCACACATTCACTGATATTGTTCGCTGATTTGTCAGAAAACTTAAGCTAATACTTATTTTTAATCTGTACATACATACACAGCCACCTCACAATATACAGCAAATACATAGTCTGTATGCACACACACAAACACATACACACAGGCAGGCAGGTTTTTCCAAGTAGGAAATTTCTTTAATAAAGATGGTAGAAATCATTGCATCTCTTAAAGCTGAATAATATCCAATCTTCAATGATTACAAGCAGAAAAGAAGCAGATATTATAAATACCCCCCACAGTCTGTACCATGTACCTCGATGCTAAAATGCTAAAAAGAAACATCTTTCTGATTGCTTCATCTCAGTCCAATGTTGTATAAAAATCACCAGGTAAAATGAGAAGATGGTAATTTCCACCTATAGAGCATCTATCAGTACATATAAAAATAATTCTCATAAGCGAAATAAATAGAAGCACCTGAAGACTGTTTCATCCAGTCAGTGTGACAGGGATTTCGTCCTTCATATCATGCTGTGTTCAAGTGCTCTTCAAAACAAATATGAACCAAGTATGACATACAATATACAAAGCAAAGAAACATTGCTGCTGAAAAGTAAACAATACACTTCCTCTTGCTCGTTCATTCATCTTGGACGGCCTCTTTCATGAACACATGCACGCACCATTTGTTATTGCACAGCGATGACATCACAGTTTCTCCCCTCAAGTGTTGAGAGACAAAGGGAGGTTGGTCTTTGAGTTGTCCCTCAATCATTGTCTTAAACCCCGTTCTTCACCAGCTCGTGGACTCCATTCTCGTCGATCATCAGTGTTGGATGAAACTCTCGTCCCTTCACCAACTCTTCAAGGCCCTTAAATTAGTAAAGGACACCATCAGGACATTGTTATTTGTGTACAAACTGGTTATTTCAGGTGGACAGCAGAACAACATACGGAGTTTCCATTTAACACAGTAGGCTTTGCCTCCTTACCTCTCCCCCGTAGGACACCAGTGGGGAGATCTCACATTTGATTGGCAGGTCTGTTCCGTCTTTCAGGCTGCGTTGGGAAAGGAACGAATTCAGGGAGGATCAGAAGAAAAACAAAATGAAACAGAATGAGTGATTCTCTCATTAAGGCAGAGGGGCTGTAGTTGAGAGAAGCAGCTGTGCATCCTTGACACAGCTGTTCTTCTACTGCGGCTTGTGATTAGAGTTCAAAAGGGCAGAGAATCAGAGTTCATCATTCCCAAACAGTGATTAGTCCTCCGACCCGTAACAGACCCCCCCCTAGAAGAAAACAGATGAATGACGGGTAATGTGGTTGTATCTCATCCCAGTGTTTCTTAAAAAACTGGAGGAACTTTTCACCACGTTGCCGTCGTTCAACTTGTTTTTTTCTAGATACAGACAACAATCACTAATCAGGTACTTCAGGTGTTTTCTGAGCAGCTGCCCATACACCTGTATCATGAGAATGAGGGAAAAGATGAATGATTGAGGAAAAAGCACACCCTTTAAGAGCCTGAATAACATTCATGGGCGCCATGAATGTTACTGAAGCACATGCTCATTTAAAAACAAGCCGGTGGATTTAAACTCAAAGGCAAACTAGCAAGCAATGAACGGCTGGCCTCGTCGGAACTATTTCACACACAAATCAACAGGTTCATCATCTGTCACAGGGTTGTCACTGAGAAAGTGTGACTGGTGCCCATTACCCAGCATGCAATACATTATGTGTATTAGTAGCAACCATCTGAGGGGAAAATGATCTGTCAGCAGGTCATTATGACTGTACATCATCTGACCAGGACACTGAGAGAACTGCGTTTTCAGTCGTCTACACTGATCCTCGCTGTCATTTCCTTCATCAAAACTGACTGCAAAGAGAAAAAATGGCTGCCGACTGGCACGTGTTGCTATTTTCAGCGGTAATGAAGGAAAGGGGATGCCAAGGATCAGAAGTAATGTTATATAGCGTTAACACGTCTGAGCGAGAGAGAAAGAAAGCCAAAACCCCGTCACCATGCGCTGAGTACTGCAGGGGGATAATAATTACTTTCTGTTGCCATCATCTGTGACACTGCCTGCTGCTCCGTCTCTGGAAACATTGTACACACAGGAGCAAGACCAAGCATGAGAGAAGGGGAAGTGAGAGTGTGAGGCTAAAAGAATATGATGTGTAAAATACAAAAAAAAAAAAAAGAAGCCACTGTATGTAGTTTGTACACAAAATGTGGAGAGTGTTGGGAAGGTGGGGAATGACCACGAGGGACCCGTTCTGTTCATGCCAAACGTGTGTGTGTGTGTCTTGTGAAGTGGTATGACATGCATGGTGCTGTTAGCAGGCTGGCTGCGGTCACCTGGGTATGGCGGGCACACGTCTGCCGTTCTCGTCGATGAAGTGGCCTCCAGCGTTGAGCACCCAGCGGTGATGGAGGGACATGAGGGCGTGTCTGGCTGTGGTGGGCGTGTCCTTTCCATCCTGACTGTCTGCATTCTTTAGAGGGGAGAATTCATCCTCCCGCAGCACCTCATACACAACAAATGCCCTGTTGGACGCACAGCAGCACATCAGCACAAAGGCAAACACACTGTGTTCCTGTACAGGCTGAAAAATGTAACGCTGGTGGTTTATGCTAAATAAACCATTCAAAGCCCATGGGTTATCTTAAGGATGCATGTTCATGAAAAGTTGACATTTTGGAGATACATAGTTTCACAGAACAGCAGTGATCATCACCATGGAAACTGCCCCATCACCAAAAATGAGGGGCCCTTGATGAAGACATTTAATCCCCAACTGCACCAATGGAGGCCACGAATCAGACCAGTATTTATACTGGACAGCTTTCAGGTGTCAAGTGTGAACAAAATCCTTGGTGAAACTAACTTGGTTAAATAAACGTTCAAAAACAATTAAACCCTTCAGCTGGCACATGAAGGCACAATTAATAAGTAAAAAAATATGGCCAATTAATAAATGGACAATAGAGAATAACTCATCACCCTGTCCTAAGGCGAACTTACCAATATTCATGAAACCACAGTCTGTGACAATTAATTAGATTTAGTATTTTATGTCTACATCTGAAGTTCCAAACCATGGATGAACTAAGAAAACTTTCCAAGATGGCGCCCCTTTCAGTCCTATGAAAGCTGCACACTAGGCACATATGCCTAAAACGTTTTTCAGAATTTCCAAATGGATCAAATTCTGATCATAGATTTTAAAAATGTATCCATTGTTTTACAGCTGTTCTTTTTGTGTATGGGAAAACGTCTTATTGCTCTAAAATGAAATGTGCATTATCAACAGCAACCAAATGTGCAATGCCTTTTGACTAAGACGTACATAAAATATGGCACATGTGGCCACACAGACACAGAGAGCCTCGACCAAACAGTACAGAGGAAGAACTTTTTCAAACTCTGGCTGCAGAATGAGTCAGTCCATCTGGATTCTGCTAAAGCTGCCAGTCTGCCAGCCCAGGCACAACTGTAATCCATCTCTTGAGCAACACCAAAAACTATTTCTCATCTTTTTTACTTTAAAATACAGCGAATAAACCTCGAAGGAAGCTGGACATGTCTGTAGTGTTTTTCCATCAGTCAATCATTACAGGAATCCTTTCATTAGATGTAAAGTTCTATTAGGAGTGGCGTGACTCAAAGGTGATGTCATGCAACACTGGAGGAGGTGGAATGAGTGAACAGCTCATAAACCTCCATCCTCCTGCAGAAAGCTTGGCAGCCTCAGTCTGCTGGACCAGACCTTGGAGCAATGGCAGGACTGGGGCTGGTGGGATAAGGATCGGGACTGGAAAAAGGGGTTGGTTCATGCATGGAAGGACAGATCAAGGACCAGTCAAACCCCGGGCCCGGAGGCCTGCCAAAAGAACATATGCAATCCAGCCACCTCTCAAAAGGAGCATAAGATATTCATTGTATTCTCGCTACTTTAAGGCATTTTAGTCTGAGGCGAGCGGCCGTCTGCTGATGCTGTCCCAAACTCTGTGCCCTCAATGGAAAAAAACACACTGTAACTCACTTGGCAAACTGGAAGATGTCAAAGACAAATTTTTCCATTTTAATCCCATTCGGTTTGTCTGGTTTGATTAGCTGACCCTCAGTATCCACGTGTGGGATCTTCTTCTGGGCCACGTGGTGCTGCAGCTGTGGCTCGTACTTCCTGATATATAAACACAAAAATAAAAGCTCATTGCTGCACATTTCCTTCAAATGATGTGGAGCTATGAGGAACACTCAGAGTGCATTAGTCTTACTTTACTACGTCTCTGAGGAAGGAGAAGCTGAAGAAGTGATTGGCCACATTTCCTGCGTTGAACATCAGTCGGCCGTCAGGGCTGCGCTTCTGAGCGGTTGCCAGGGTGATCTCGCTGTACTCCACCACCTGGTAACGCCCATCCACCTTGCAGACCACACCCACCGCCTCTGTCGGATTGGTTTTCTCCACCACCTGGAACCATGTCGCAACAAGTTTTAAAAAACTGTAACTACTAGCACAACTGAATGATGAACACATTTAATCAACATGTCAGTCAGCTTTAATTGTACTATATGATATCAATTAACAGATTTTTTTACTACCTAGAAAGTATTTTATATGAAAACAATAAAGCCTTGATGTTCCACCTTTATCAGAGATTATGTACATAATAGCTGGTGAATACCAAAATTATTAAAATGGAACTTGGAGTAAAAAAATAAGCTATAAGTTGAGTAAGTTTAATATTTAAATAAAGCTTAAAAACTGCTACGAAATGATCACATTTTCTTAAGTGTATTCCACTTTGTACAACCAGCAAGTTAAAGTCTGCAGTGAATGAAAAAAAAAACCCTCTCCCCATCTGTTGGTTGCTAATGACAGAGTGGAGTCCTGATGAGTGGGTTGGTGAACGGGGTGGGGTGAGGGGTAGAGGTGGCGGTGAAACCACATGAACTGTAGCGGAGCTTAGTAATTTATGATAGGAGGGTGGGACTCTGCTCTGATCTGATCCTTCCATCCCTGCTCCACCGCACAACTTATAATGTCAAGCAGGAGCGGGGTCTGGACGATCTTCAGTTCCACGCAGTTAAATATTTCAATCTATTCTGTGTTAGCTGAAAGATATATACAGCATGATAAAAAATGATCTTTCATTCTGGTTCTGCTGCTTCAGGCACTCTGGAAATCTAGCAAACATGACCTCATTTACCTGTGAGTTTACAGACGAAGTGGAAGCAAAACTGTGATAAAACGAACTGAGAAAAAAAAAACAAAAAAAAAAAAAAACATGGCTCTGTGTTTTGGCGTGCCATGTTTTTCTAAATCTAATTAGGCAGCGATGGTTAGTCACAACTGTAGGAATAACTCGCAGGTCACATCCTATTGCCCAAGCAGGATATTTAACATACTGTATTTTGACTTTTTTAAGACATAAAGGAAGTTTCCTGATCGTTGCAAGTCTGCTGTCTGGTTTATTGTTTATTGCTATTTGATTCTCCTATTGGTGGTAACCTTGGCAACAACTGCTCAAACAACTTTTACAGCAGGAGACCCGACTGATATCAGCAGCAGCAGGCCGATCAGCCACTTCAAGCCTTATTCTCATTGTTTCATCTCTTGAAAAAAGTTACAGTTAATCATGAATATGGTTTATTTACTACTGGGACAAATTTGTACCCTGAAAAGCTTTTTTCCTTCCCAAAATAAAGTACACTCTGTCCAAAGACACTGTTTAGGAAAAACACACCATGATGAGAAGTGAAGGAAGATTCTGGGCTCAACCTTCAAATTTCCTAGAAAGCTGTAATGAATTTATTGCTCCACGAGACTAAAGAGGGAGACAAAGTGGCCCCTATCGCCACCCAGTGGTGAAACGTGAAGGGTGCAGTTGTGTAGAAACAGTTTAACTGTTCACAGAAAACTGACCACACCTTTTATTACAAGACAGAAACACAAGAGAAGGATATGAATCAACCCCCGTCACCCTTCAGGACCTCCTGGAATTTAAAAAGAAAAACTAGACCCTGCTTTGAAAACACTGACTGGATCAGACACATTCAGCCCTTACAGCTCGACTACTGACGCAGTTTGCTGACTTATCAATATTTGAATAAGTAATATGGGCGTTTCTTTTCCCTGTTTGATTATTTGATTAATAATCAGTGTGTGCATGCATCAGTACAATATTATTATTACTTCCTGGTCTGATAAAGTTTATTGGGAGCTCAATAGTGAGGGATCATTGTAACTTTATGACAGGAACATAACAGGCCTTATGCTCAACCTTTTCTGACATCATTATTCAGGTGCTGTGATCAGGATGGCTGCTTCTTAAAAAGTAACACTATGAAACCACAACAAAAAATGCTGCACCACAATCTCTGATGACTCAGTTTCATACCTAATTACCTCTAGAATTAATCTTAAGACTTGTGATGAAAAAAAAGTGCTGCAGAGACCCTGAATCAGAAAGAAAAAGACAGACAGAGCAGGAGGTGTGACCAACCTTAGCTCCACAGTCCGCTCCCTTCTGCACACAGAAACCAATAAAGGCAGGGTCTGCCACTTTGACCAAGATGTTATCTACACAATACACATGGATGGATTCAACCCCCCTCCGCTCCATGTCATCCATGATGCCTTGGTTCCCCAGTGCTCTGTAAAGACCCCCGTTCCCATCTGAAATACAAACACAGACGCACTCATTTGAAACAAACACCACAAAAAAGACAACAACAACAACAACAACAACAACAACACCACTGTGTATGGATCTAAAAGGCACAAATCCTGAGTGGGCTCACCAGGGGCCATGGAGAGCTTTCCCTTGCTCTCCAGGATGATTTTGCCTTTGTAGTCCATGGCTGGTAGCATGCCCTGCTGAAAGAAGACGATGTTGTTCTTGTCCAAGCCAAAATAGTTATGTTGTGAGAAGAAGTCCTTGGTGGACTCCATTGTCCTGCCACTGGTCATAATGTACCTGAAGGCAACACAGAAGGAACTTAGTGCTGATTCACACATTTGTTTTCCTCTCTATTTTAAATGATCAGGGAAGAGGGGATACGTGCTGAGGAACCCACTTCCAAGTAAATTAACATTATCTGTTTATTTTTTGAATACTGTAGAAAGTCTTACAAGAAAGCTGACGTCAGCACAGCCCAGAGTTTAAGAATATGACGGACAATAAAATTTTTAACAACTTCCGTACAGAATCACCTGTAGAAGATTATGTCATTATGCAATTCTGCTATAATCTTCAGTGTTATGTAGACTTTATGCACTCCACTGCCTTCCTGGTATCGCCCATCTTTCACATTTTCAAACTGTCCTTAGATCTGCTCTACAGGGAACTAATCCTTTTCCAGTAACACAACTTCCTTGACTGAGTGTCCTTTGATCCAGGCAGTAATTTGACCCAGTAAATTATCATGCAAACACAACTGGGTCAGATGGTTTTAACTTTCATTATGAATAGAGAGACAGTACTGGGTAGCTCAGATCTGTTTGGTTTTTTCATATAAAGCAGCAATTCAACTGACAGGCTTCTTTACTAAAATGCTGCAGTCATCTCTTCCTGAGTAACATGATGTCTCACCAGGGAATACAGCACTTGATTTTGTGTTTCTGCTCAGCCAGCTGTTGCAGCTTCAATATGCGTTCAGCCTGGATCTGAAAGAGGGTTTTGTGGGTCGGCAGCCCCACGTCGTACATGCCTTTGGGGTAAGAGACCCCTAGTCTGGTTCCCTGGCCCCCAGCCAGCAGCAGGACCGCCACTTTACTCTGAGAGATGCAGTGCAGACCTGAAGCAACACAGAGCAGTTTCAGTTATAGTAGAAAGACTGTGTGTTGTATAAACTATTTAAGACACAGAAACATATATTTTTTATCTCTTATAATGACCATAGTGCTTTCTTATTGCTTAAATAAATCTTTGATAAACAACTAACGTAACCAATGTAAAGCTGATAACATTCATCAATAACATTTAAGTGATCAGCCAACATTATATGACTAGTTCTACAGGACTTTGGCTATGTGACATAATAAACTTGCCCTGGACTGATACTGATCCTACCCAAATCTTTATTGTGGTTTATTAGTTTATAACGGTTCCAGTTTATCTTACATAAACTGCTGCTACGTGACTTGATATGCAACACTCTTTTTCATACATATGCCAAAAGACAAGGTTCATACCAGCGGACCGAACGGGCCAGCTAGACTTTGACTACTCACCCAAACGTACAAACACACACATGCAGTCACACACGCAGTCACACGCACCACGCCCTGCACACAGATTTGGTCTCGACAGAGCACAGTGACCTCACAAACGAAGGTCAAGCAGCAACGTTATTTACGTCAGGCTCAAACTAAAACCAGATGCTGCCCGCCTCCACTGTCATCCTCCCCCAGGAAAAAAACTCACCAGACTAAAGCTAAATGGTTGGACCCCCACTGCAAGGGGGATTGCGCAAAGTAAAATGAACATGACTTACTCATACGTCAAATCTACGCAGGAGACTGAGACTGGGAGTAGTTTGTGAGTTTAGACAACCACACAGCAAGCAGAGAGGGAGTCTCTGATGCTCCTCAATGTGGATGAGCTATTACAAGGTTTACTTTAAAAGGCTGCTTTTGTGTTGGCCTAAAATAAAAGTAAGACAAGCTATCAGGACACCCACTGCCCCACCTCAACATCAAAGCATCTGGTTTACCATGTGATGTTTTAATCCCTTTCAGGCTTCCCTGTCTGATACCAGGAGATCTTCTCTGTCACCTGTGGGCCATCACTTCGTGTTCGAAAGTTGCTCAACAACAACAACACTTTAATTGCTTGGCTTCAGTCTCTGTAGGGGATTATTGTCCCTGCAGTAAGTCTTGCTTAACAGCTGGTAATTGCTCACATATTCTCTCCGGCTGTATGACATTGTAATAAAAACCTGACCCCATCCAATAAAACTAAATATTGCCAGAAATATCCCCTTCTTTCCTTATAGCATGTAGTACACTGACACATACAGTAGCTGTATGAATACAGTTTCTGGGAGGAAGCGGTTTTGATGGAACTGACCTGTTAGCTCCCAGTCTTTAAGACTCTCCCTGTCCCTCGTCACACTCCCCAGCACCTCCCGGGGCACCGGCTCCATGCGGGCGTCCATCTTCTCGTGTTTGCTGTTGCTGGATGTCTCCATGGCGTTCTTGAAGAATCCGTTGATCTCCTGAAAGTCCATCCCCTGCAGGTCGAGGGTCAATTCGGCCTGCTCAGCAGGGCTCAGCTGGTTCCAGAAATGCAAGAGGTGAGACTGGTCGGCTTCAGCCAACCTCTGGGCGAGTCCGCTGGTGCTTGGGTCCATGATCACCGATGCTTTTGATTAACTCTGCCACACTGGAACACAAATTAAAAAATGTGACGAGTGGTTACTGGTGAGCAGAGCTTTACCTACCACTGAGGATACCAAAGACATATATCTCTCATATAGCTCTACACATTTAATCATAATGAAAGGAGTTTGGTATTTCCCACCAGAGTTACATACCTGGTCATAATGTAGGGAGATACAATATCTGGCTAGTTAAAACCTTCGGAGGTGGGTGGAGTTGTTGTGAGGAAAACTGGAATCATGACTTCAGTATTCCTACAATCCTGGTTACTGCTGGTATAACTAGCATAACCGGTGACATGATACAACACCCAGCGTGACATTTACATATTGTAGTAGGACTGCAGCCAGAGCCTTGCTTAAAATAACTGCTGGTATGTTATAGACTGTCTTTGTAGGACACCCACACCCACAATCAGGAGCTTGTTGGACCAGGAAATCATCACACCACTGCTGGAGAGGATCTTTCAGCACTTTAATGGGATGCTGAGGGTTACAGCACCATACACTGGCTGAAAACTGAAAGCTGACAGAAATACTGTATAATTCTGTTATGAAATATTCATAACACTTTCAAACTGGTTCAAGTCTCCACAGGGTTTCCAAGTTGAGTCTATCCTATTACCACAGTAGTGTTAAGGTAACTACTGTCTGTATGATCATGGTGTAATGAAACAGGCTCTCTTTTTTACAGTAAGCACGTTTGCTGTCCGGGATACATTAGCAATCATTGTGTTTAGCCCATTGACAGTAGATATATAAAAGTACACACACACACACATATATATATATATATAAGTA